TTCTTGTGGATTAGGAAATTCCCGTCTTTAGTATTTCTTTGAAACTATTTAGCGGGTAGGTACTTGTATTATACATATTGATCTACCATATTCATGGTAATTCATTGCAAGCAAAATGTGTGACCATCATCTCAACATACAAATGAAATACGCAGCACGCAGTGTTGCGTAGTCGAACCGCACAAATATTTACGAAAATTTTGTGAAAAGGAATGCGGAAAAACTAGACTCGAGTTGCTGGACTCTTTTTGACCGTGTGAATGCCCAGAGCGACACCAAAAGAAAATTTGAAAAACATCAGACTCTTTTGAATCCCTGTGTAAAAGTGCACTTATCGGGTAAACCACATAGTCATGTTTGTTTGCATTCAATAGAAAATAAAATTGCATTTAACAAATATTGATTTCATAAGAAAATAGAAAAACAAAAAAATAGATAAGAAAATTGTAATCACTTTAGTAGTTATATAAGCAGAACATAATTTGAAAAAGAAACAGAATAAAATATAATGTCACAGAAGTAACATCGTCGGCATTTCTATTTTTCCTCCGCTCGAACAACCAAAACTCGCGTTGAGTTCTAACAAATCGTTGAAAGAACAACTTCGCCGACAAACATACATACCAGAGGACGTAGATATATTTTTAAATCGTATCAGCTCTTCATTCTGTTTATTTATTTATACATTTTATATGGTCTTCAACGTTTCCTTCTGGTTTTTTCGAAGTTTTAAAATAACATATTAAGAGAGTTCGCATTTATTGAGGATAAACGGGATACGAAATGTAATAATTTATTATTCATGAATCAAAGAGCCTCGATTGAAAATATGTATTTATTGGATTTTTCCTTGTTCTTTATTTTAAAAACTATAATTTTTGTTCCATTAATACTATTTTTTACATCTTTACCTTAAATTTATTGTACACATTCTCATGTCTTGATTTTGGTCGATTTAATTTTCGATTGCTAAAACTTTTATACACTATTTATTTTTGTAAAATGTTAGCTTAACTACATAATGGCTTATGTATTTATTAATTACACTTACGTTTAGTAAAAAATTATACATAAACATTTTAATAAATTGTATATTTATATGCTTATATGTACACATATTTATAGTCTATATGTATATATGTTTAATATAATTTGTTATACTCTCTTTTAGATATTCCTTGTTGTTACTAATTTTTATTATTGTATCACACTAAAGCAACTCAAATCGAATGTAACAAGTTTTAATTTTTGCAATAAAAAGCACTGCCTTTTTCAACTTTTTTAAACTATTAAATTCATAAGTATATACATATGTACATATATTATTAGAGAAAAATATATTAAATATACAAAAGAGTACAAATCCCAATTCTATAGTACATATACATATATATATGCATTTCAAATTACTTTAAAATATTTATTAAAAAATAAATTGACATTAAATTGGATATTTGTAAATGTTCTTATTGTATACATATATAATATTACATTGATGTCATGGGTACTTATCAAAATCTAATTTTATTATAAAACACGATGCATTTTTTTAGTTCACTATTTCCAATCGGAAAATACTCGACTTCGATAACAGTTTAAAAAATTTATTTATTTTGCAATATGTTGCCGCAATTTCTTCGTAATATCTTTCATTTCTTTAGAAATTTTCAAATCCTTTCCTTAGACTGGTTTTGTTTTGCCATTAATCCCCGATTTCGCAATTGTCTGGAATACATATCAAGGGTGCGGCAATTCTAACAGATGACCTTAGTATTTGGTTTAATCTATAGCTCTTATAGAATATAAATTTTAAATACAGCACATTTTTGAAACGAGTTTCAGAATGGTACTGAATGGATTTTAGAAATTTCTGAATCAGTTTTTGGATTTCAAAGGGACCTAGAGAGACAGGGATAAAGGGATTCCCAACTATTCCAATGTGAGAGCGGCTAATTAGAGTTTTTTATAGCATTTTCTCAATAGAAATGGTTACAATTAGCCACATCGGACAAAATAGTAAATTTTAGGCATTTAAATTACACCCAACATTTATTACGATTACAAATTATTATATATTGGACGTGAAAAATGTGTGGAGAAACTATTTAAATCTTTTTTTTTATGATTTGTGGTTTATTAAAACAACTGACATTTGAACTTTCAATACTTAGTAAAGTGTTTTAAGCATGTTTGGTCTTAGTTAATAAATGTTTTTAACAATTTTCACATTTCCCATTTTCATTGTTTTACATTTTTCATTAGTGATCTTGAACGACGGCAATAAATAAATCCGTTCACATATGTACTTATATTTTTGGAGGATTTCAATCTGGCCGTTCTGGACTGAGATAAAGAAAACAACTCACCTAACCGACTTTGACAGTTGACTGAATCGGGTAGGCTTTGACGTTTCGCAATTGGCACGATTGGATCGGCCAAATTGAAATTCTACTAAAAATATATGTGAACGGAGGGATTTGTTGCCGTCAGGGATAATAAGATACCCAACTCTTTTCAGTGTGAGAGCGCCTTAAAATAAGCGCTTTTTATAACATTTTCTATTGTAGCCGGATCGGACAAAATAATAATTTTTGGGAATTTAAATTAAAATACCCAACATTTATTAGGATTAAATATTATTCTACATGTATGCGTTAAACATATTGAAAAACTATTTAAATCCATTTTTGTGATTTTGTGATACATCAAAACAACTGATTTTTGAACTTTCAATACTTAAAAATTGAAAAAATGTATTAACTCTCAGTTAGTAAATGTTTTTTATAATTTTCAATTGAAAATTAATACTATGAAGCATGGCATCACAAAAGATTTCATCACATACATTTCAATTTCGCCTTTTTTTTCATTTTCATTGTTTTCCAATTTTTGTTAGTGATCTTCAACAGCAGCAACAAATCTCTCTGTTCACATATTTGTCTGTAGGATTTTAATCTGGCCGTCCCTCTTTTTTCAATTGCTAAACGTCAGACCTCCTGACCTTCAGTTTGAGATGAGTTTGACATCTCTTTATCTCTGCCTACACTCCTTTGCTACAACACAAAAAATCCAACATAATTTTCGGTTTTAGCAGTCGCAATATGACTGTAAACTACTTGTAGTATAATTTTTAATCGTAATAAATGTTTGGTGTTTTAATTTAAATACCCAAAAACTAGATTTTTGTTTAGACAACGACTACAAAACGGCATCCCTTTATCCCTAGGTATCTCACGGTCGAAAGTTCGATAACAACACAAAAAAGTTAAATAACGCCAACAATGTATTAGTTCTCTACTGGAAAATATACCATGGTGAATATATTTGAAATTTATTTCAAGTTTTCGATGGTTAAAAGAGAAAAAAACCCGATTAAAACGAAAGTGCTAGCGCAATCAAGATTGCAGAAAACTAAGTGAGAAATGAGATAAACATATGTATGTTTTTCGAGCTGCAACAACAACGGCAATGTGAATATTGAAAAAATATACACTAGAAAAAATACTACTAATGTACATAATATTTTTGTATAGTATCAAGTACGAACTGTAGAATAAGCAACATGCAGTGCTGAAAGTTCAACAGCTGTTTGGTTTAAAGTCCGACAAAAAGCGAGAGAAGAAAGCCAAAGAAAGTTCATGCAAAAACTGCTAAATATAGTAAAGTATTTAGAAATCGCCATAAAAGCAAATATGAAAATAAAATTAGCCAAAATACGCACCAAAAGAAGTTGCTAAGACCATACATACATATGTGTGCTGTTACAACGGCAACAATAAGTAAAGCAATCTTCTAAAGAGCAACGATGCCGAAATAGAAACAAATAAAAATAACGATTTTTTTACAAATATTTCAATAGTTTTATTTATTTTTTGTATTTTTTTGTAATTTTCTGTTGCGTATGTTTTTGTAAATTTGTTTATGATTTTCTCTTTATGATGAAAGTAAACTTTATGCAGTTTATTTGTTCTACATTATAAGTAATTACAAGTTAAATATTTATGCAATAACTATGATGATAATAATAGCATTTATTCATATATATGTATGTAAGTATGTTTAATAAAAAAGAAAATTAAAACTATAACTAGATAGTAACAGCTAAGAAACTTCTTTTTACTAATGTAGTTTGTGTAGTTTAATTTTTTTTTAGTTTTTTATGCATTAATTTTGCATTGCAGTTTAACTTAAAGATAATAGAAACAAGAAAAAAATAGTGAACAAGTTTTGGTTTTCAGTTTATAAAAATATGCAAACAAGCATAAAAACATTAAAGAATTTTTTTTTTGTATATTCGTACAAAATGGGAACACAAAAGTTAAATAAATCATAACTGAAATGCTAGTTTGTATATGGCTATGTCTATGACAGAAGAAACGGAACGCAAAAAGATAACCGTTTCATGTTGTAGAAACATAGGAGTAGGAGTTGCTCAGAGAGTTATTCCAACAACAAAAAAATGAAATATTATTGTATACGAATGTTTTATAATTTTGATTACTGTAGTAATATTTTTAAACAGAAAATAGTGTTTAGTTAAAAAATTTTATACGAAATAAAGAGCTGAAACCATCATTTCTTTTATTTTGCAGGATTTTGTAAATGTGTAACAAACTATCTGAATATAAAAAGTATTTTTCATTTTAATTGAGTACAAATGGTTTGCTTTGCGTGTTTTTGTTTGTGTTTTATGTTTTTACTTATAATACTTGCGTTTGTGTACTGTTTATCTTAAAAAATTAAGTATTTTGCTTTTAGTATTTGTTTTTTCATAAGTTTTCATAATTTAATTGTAAATTAAATCTAAAGGTTTACTTAAATTATTATTATTATTTTTTTTTTTTATTTTTTGTTGTGCTGTTTTTTATTTTTACAAATGTTTCTTTCACACTTTATTACTTTTTTCCGTTTGCTTTGTCTTTTATTTTGCCTGTTTTGCTTACTAACATTAACTTAATAATATTATCACAGCCATTATTTGTAATAAAAAAAATTTCAAACCGTTTTTCTGCAATTTTTATTACAAATCTAATTTTTTTCTTCAAAATATTACAACAATACATGCCATTTTTCTATTAACAATTTCAAATAACACAAAACAGCTTACAATTGCTTACAATATTTATTTGTTTTTATTTGCAAGTCTAGGCTTAACGGCGTTTTTGTGTATAATTTGCGTTTATTTGTATTTCTAAATTTTTGTTCTATAAAAAAATTTTAATTGCACTTTGAAATGAAAATTTATGGATTTCTTTTGCTTTGCCATCAAAGTTCTTTGCGTGTTTCGAAGATAGATGTATAACTTGGAGTCTTGAAACGAGTTGGTTTTTAAGAATTGACGGCGAATTTTGTTATGAAATATTCTAAAACGTTGTAAATTTGTTGCCAGTCAAAGAACAAATTCTTACTGTAATTTGTAAACATATAAAATTAAAGATAAAAATAAAAATGGAATAAGTGTGTAGGAAAATTACGAACATATTATAAAATAACAAAAACAATAAAATAATAATAACAAAATAAATAAATGAAAATAATAGTTGTAAACAAAGAAGAAAAAATACAGTGCTCTCGGAAACTAAATAATGCAATAATTTGCACAAGAGTACATATTTATATGCACTTTAGTGAAATTTTTGCAGCCTTTTTTAATTTGTAATATTTTTTGTTAATTTTGTTTCCGTTTCCGTAAGGAAACTTTCTGATAGAGAAGGCGCATATGTACATCAAATAACGAAAAAAGGTTTCTTCTATAACATTGGTCGTGAGGCAAATGACGGCAAAAGATCACTTCTGCCTTTGAATGGGGTTACTGTAAACGTTCTTGTTAGTTGCAAATGTTTCTCATTTTTGCGTTTTCATTTACAAAATTACGTTGAATTCCATTGCCATAGTCAGTGTGTCATGTGAAACCATGTTTTTGATAAAAAAAATTACTTTGTTTATTTTTCGACTATCAAACTGACATCTCTTTGCGTTTCGCAGAAATATACTTTACGGTTATATAAGCTTTGAAAGTATTTTGGCAAAATTACTAGGTCTACTCTAACAAAAAGAAACTTGTAAGCTGCTCAATTATGCCATTTAAAGCATAGTCTTAATTCAGATAAGCTGTTTTGATTTTATTTTTAAACTACAAAGCGCAATTTGGAAAAACTGTTGTAAAATACAAACATTTTCTGCTCTTCACTAGCTAAATCACTGTACGCTCGTGATCTCTACATATTTTACTCACATGACTCGCTTACGCTACAAACATACATAAATATATGAGTACGTATGCCGGCTGTCTGTTGTTTGACTACATTTTCTTTGATTTAGGTTTTCTTAATATCTAACTTATGTACATACATATGTATGTATGTACGTATGTATATAATGTTGTATAATTTTTTGTTTTATGGTATATGTACTTGTATATGCTTTTTGTTATCCTTTTTGCTTGCATAAAAATTAATCATATTTGTGGAAAATGTCTTAAGCTAAATCTTAAAATTAAGGGCTTTTTACTTTGCCTATTTTAGTTATAACAAAACATGTTCACACTTATTTTGTGTTTGACAAAATTTTTTAGTGTAAATTATGTACGTACGTTTCCGCTTCCACTTTAACGCCATTTTAAATTTAAGAATGTTCTTTAACCAACATAAATATTCAATTTTAGGTTTGCAAACATTTTGCTAAACTTAACAATGCGTTCGAAAAAAAAGCTTTTTATTTGCAATAATTGCATTCAACCCGCATAAATCAACAATGTGAAAAGGCTGACAGCGTGCTGCGTACGAATTTTTATATTTGTTTAAGATTTAGTACGCTACGCCTAACGCCTATTCTCAAATCTTTTTTTTTGACTTACGCACTCTTAATCCTATTCCTGCGTAACTCGCCAGTTTTCTGTCATTTACTGATACTTTCATGTCTCCAATGAGGTGACCACCAGATTGTGGAATACACTGGCCGATTCACTCATCATCGCCGCCTGGCCACAGGAGTCGCTGCCCACACTCGGTGTTGGACTGGGCGTGCCCAAACGCAGTGCGTCCATAATTACCTCAAAATCCTTTTGATTCTGATTCAGATCGAACTCAAGCTCGAGCTCGTTAGCGCCATTACCGAGCTTTTGACGTTTACTCGGCGATATTGGCCCCATACCCATGCCCACTCCGACACCCATGCCTAGTCCCAAGCCGACACCGACGCCCATGCCGCTTCCAACGCTCACCACGTCCAGCGGGCAATCTTCGATGGCGGAAATGAGACGCTGCTGCGGTATGTAGAACTGTGAGAGTGCTTCGCGCACTAAACGATCACTTTCGTCCTCGCTTCGCAAACGCTTCCGGGACGAGATAGCTTTCTCGAGCTGTTCAGCACCCTGTGTGATCTCTGGGTCAATGAGTGGCATTGGTGCATTGATTGCGCTCAGTTCACGGTCGAGTATTTCTAGGTCATTGTCGAGATTGCTGCTGCAGAGTTGACGTTTTCGTGTGTGTGTGCTGTGTCCGGCAGGGGTGCAAGAAGATGACGAATGAGCAGTGGCGGTGTTAGTGGTGCCGTTGAAGTGGGTACTGTGCGTGCAAGTGGTGGAAGAGGCATTGTTGGCGGTAGTATGGTTGGCAGTCGCAAGTGAGGTGATGGCGGTGGAGTTAATAGAGATGTTTCTGCTGTTGACGTCGACGATGAGAGACGAGTTTTCAATATCGGCGTTGGTGGACGAGTGTAGTTTGTTGCTATTGTTGCAGTTAAGATTATTTTCATCGCCGTTGAAGACCAGTTCACAGCAGTTGCTGCGCTCCGTGCTGCTGTGAGTGCGTAAATTATTGAGAGAATTGTTGTTGGATGCAGAACTGGTGATTTCATTGCAGACGGATTTGTTCGATGGCTGATGATTGGAGTTGTCAATGCCGCAGCTATTGTATGGATTAAATATATTATCGCGTGCACTCTCCGGTTTGACCTCAGATCTGTAGCGACATGAAGAAAACATGCATTATAAGTAATGATGATAAAATAACATAACATAAAATAGTTTAACACTACATTCAAATTTTTAATACTAATTTACTACAGATTACTTGGGAATAGAAACTGTGATGGGCAAAGAAATTGTTGTCTAAAAATACAAAAGTTCAAGTAAAGCTTTCTCAAAAGCTGTCTTAATTCACGATGTAATCATTAAATAACATTCAGTGGCAACAGCAATCAACGAGTCGCGACAACTGCGGCAAGGTCCAAGAAGGGTATCACGGCATACCGTCATGAACAGACGATATCATAGATAACAGATGCAGCTGATTGACACGATTTTTTTAAAAAATTTGTGTGCAATAATTTTGAGTAAGTCCGGATGATATATTCTTAACGCAATCGGGAATCTGCAAAGCCACAACATATGTCGTACACATCTGAAGATTTCAATAAATTTTAGATAAACGGCGGAGACACACACATGGAGAAAAGTGAATTTTGTGAGCGCAAAGTCAGCAAACACAGCGCGCGATGAGCGGCGGAAATTGACTTGATTAGTTAAATTTACAAGAGCAGCAGTGTAACAGGTTGTGTATCCCCAAAAGCAGTGCATAAAAAGAGCTAAAAGAGTACGGAGAAAAATGTTAAGAGACACACAACAACTGGCAAGCCAGCCTAGCGCTGAAGAGCAGCGAAGCAACCGTTTGTCTACGCCAGTAACAAAACTCAAAGGATTAGGGCGAATGACATCGCTGTAAGAAGTGATGATAATAAATAACAAAAAGAATTCACCGCACCGTTGCAACGCCTAGCTACAGAAGTAAACTTACAGTTACACACTACTAAGTGTTGTACATATTTGTGCACATTGGCATACTCTGTTTAGCGCAACGGTTATTAAATTCTCATACGAGCGGTAAGTTTTTAATTGACATTAAAATACGAGCGGTAGCAATGGTCAGTAGTTGTTTTTGATTTGTGCTACTGAAGCAGCAGAAAGTGCACAATGAAACATAGTAGCACTTATGGTCGGCAATATGTAATGTTTGTGCCGTACGGGTAATATGATTGTGGGATCATAAAAGTAGTAATACCTGCGCAGAGTGCGCTGTAATAACCGCCGGTGTGTGTAGTGGTTATCGTTGGCACAAGTACATTTCTATGGAATTTAAGATTCATTTTATGCAAAGGCCATTAATGATAGGGAGACTTATGACTTTTTATTACGGCCATAATGTGTTTCTAATGCAGTTAAGCGCGCAGAAGAAGAGGTTAAAGGTGAAATATGCATAAGAAAGTCACGCTTGCTGTGAAAATCGCATATACGTAATTTAAAAAATTATAAACTCACAAAATTGTATATTGAAATATTATATAAATATTGTTGATCAAATTTAAATTTTTTCATTAATTCTTATTAAGCTGAATAAAAACGCTTATGCAAATTTAACGCACACTTTAAGCCTATTAGCAGCAGCGGCGCATCAAACGCTATGCGAACATACGTTTTGAGACGACGTGAAGTCGCTTTCTCGAAGTTAAAAATGCTAATAAAAAATTTTGTGTATTCAATCGCTTCACTTCTGCGCTCATTTGCGCATAAATTCGTAACGTAAGTATACGCGCACGTAACGGAAGAGCCACAATAATACATAGGGAAGTCAAGCAAGCAGCTTTATGTCACAAACTAAAGCACTATCAATAATATAGACACAAACACACTCATACGCATATCAGCTCTTACGGAGTGGCACAAATAATAAGTGGAGGCTGGAGCATATTTCGTTTCCCTGCCTTGCCAGCGAGTGCGGTCTAGCCAAGATGTTGCATGGAGAAAATAGTCGTGTAACTACATACGTGCATATTGCAAAATGTTGCATAACGCTATATACATACATACATATGTATACATAAATATGTATACATACGTATACTTAGCAACAAATAACAAAAAGGTTTGTGGGCAGCATGTCAGCGTGTGGAAGAATCACGCAGCAAAGTACAATAATTGAAAGCACTATGTAGGTAAATGAAAACCTTGCGACACTTTTTATGCTCGGCCTAATGTACTGGGGAAGCGCGCTCCAGATCGGGGTAGCGAATTTTTTAATTCAAAAATTTTGGATTTAAGTTTTCAATTTTTTTATTCCGAACAGAACACAAATTATTCGAAAATCATAAAAATTCTAAAACAATTGCTTTTTTAATTATAAGCTTGGAATTCAATTTTTTCCATCCGGTATTTGGGATTAAACATTTATATAAAAATACAAACTTTAATTTTATTTTAAAATTTAAAACAAATTTTTAATCAAAGTTTTGTTATTAAAATTAAACAAAATAAAAAAATTTAATTCAAATGTTAATAGAAGTATTTTTAGTGCATTATTTGCAACTCTGCTCTAGATTCACACGTACATACATATACGAACATAGCCGAAAAGAAGCTGCAGGTTTGTGTGTGCGAATTTGGCTTTACGACTGAATCGTGATAAGGAAATCCCCTTGTAAAGCGCCATTTATGCCTGAAATACGCTGTGGCATACAATTAGACACCGCCATCGAATGATGAAATACACATACACTGGCTCAATGCTCGTTTGCTTGGGTGAACGGTTGGTAGTTAAGCGGTGTAGTGCGGTGGTGCGCATGTTTAAGCACAGCAAAGAAATTAGGTCGCCGCCTTGGTATATGTGTGTGTGAGCTCGACTGAGTTGAGTGCAAAAGCACAATAATAATTAAGCTTATTATAAATGGTGAGGTGGTTTAGTGTTTGATGCTTGCGGTTGTGGTTATGGTTGCTACTCTGGTTTGCTGCCATAGCAAAATAAAACAGCAACAAAATATTTATTACCAAAACTGCAGATAATAAAAAGAAAGTAAAGCAGTAAGAATTAATTAGATACATGCATACATACACACACATAAAAAGGCAAGACATTGAAATTTGCAGATATTAAGAGTATAACCGATGTGGCTAGGATCTATGGTACTCTTATGGCAGTTACGAAATTGTAAACAGTTTATTATTGCAAGTTTACCATGTAAATATACTTAAATAAATTAATATCTTATTAGTTTTGAAGAAGTGTTTTGCTAACCGACATGAAATCAAAACACTTTCACTCATATCTATCAGCTACCTTTTTTAAGCCTTGCGCTAAGCGCGTAACTTCAGTTAAAACTGACCTTTCAATTGAATGCTGCCAAAGTGCTGAGCGTGTGTTTAACGTATTAGAAAGTAAGTTTGTTTGTTATGCCATAGTAGCTGTTAGCTATCAGGCAGAAGTAAATAAACAGATACTAGCAGAAATTAGCAAGGAACTATCAAAAACTTGGAAAGCAATCGTTAGAGTTTTGATAATTCAAAAGTATTAAAATCAATGCAAATGCGTCAAAATTCTTCATAATAACTATTTTTATTTATTTAAATTTCGCTAGCAAAAACTAGCAGCTTTTTCTGCCCCTTACGCTCTTAACTTGAGCTTTCCTCTGCTAGATTTTTGGATTAAGAGACGCTTTTCCAGCAGAAGCTTGGCTAGTAGCTAGTGATAGTTAGCACTTCAGAAACAAACCCAGTTGTCGCAGCCATGCGTTAAAATTTCCCCTAATTTTCACAATTCGTTTTATACGACGAAGTGCATATCGTATAGCGATTGCCAACTGTTAGCCACATAAAACCACAATAAGTACACGAGAAGCAGTGAACTGAGTACTACTTACCATATGCTTGTATTTAAGTCTGTAAACTTTGTGGAAAGTGTCATTAACGATGCCATCGTTGCGCTGTTGATGTTGTCAAATGTTGTAAAAATCTTTTAATACAATAAATACCTCTGGCACACTGAATAAACACAAAGCACTGCGGCCACAAAATCAACAACCAAATGACAACAATAAGGAACGCGTAAGTAAACATAAGCGTGAAGCAGTAACTTCATTAGTAAGTAAAATAGGGATGTGTGTGCGCGGGTAGAAATATTAGGGAAATGCCAAATAAAAAAGAAAGTATAAAAACTTACATACGTAAATAAAAGCAAATGTGCCAGCAAAGATCAAAGTTCGTATACTTATATGGTATTGTATATTTTTCGTAAACGAACAAAGCAAACAAGTCTCAACAAGAGAGATTTTAATTATAAATATGTATATACATATATTTTAAAAGTGAATTTAATTCAAAAATAAGTAAAATAATAAAAACAGGTGATGACAGCTGATTGCAGCGGGTTATAAGCATAAAAAATCGGAAACGAACGTCTGCCAGTACACACGTTCACCTAATTAACACTATGTAAAATAAGAAGTCAAATATTAACACTTTTACAAAGGCTACATAAATGTAGAAAATTTAAAATTAATTCACACAAGAAATACTTTAAGTTTCTTTGTATGTATGTACTTAAGTATGTTTGTAAGTACATAAGTACATACGCATGCTTGTCATGCCTGTCAACTCAAAAATCAAGAATAGGCGAAGCAAAAAGTATATTGAAGAAAATGTACAACCAACAACACAAAAACAACATTGCAATATCAACAACCAGTGAAACCTTCAAAAAGCAAAAGAAAGTGAATGAAATGAAAGCGAGGAGTATTGACAAAGGAGACAACGCGTGCCGGTTTCTACCGAAGTAACGGTCGCATTCACTCATATGTGTGTATGTGTGCGAAGGCGAATAGGTGACGAACATTCAAATGAGAATACCTAAATTGCCGGGAGATGAAGGTAGATTTCAAAGTGTTTCAAAGGATAAATGCTTTGATTGGTTCATAAAATCAGCTTATATGCGACTTTGAGAACTAAAACACTACTAGGCTTTATTGCTTATTATCGCTCAAAGGGGGTACAAAGGTAAGCTAGTAAGCAATGAAGTGACAAGTAAGGAAAGGCTAAATTCGGGCGTAACCGAACATTTCATTCTCTTCCAACTTGCAAGAACCAAAGCCGGGGAAATATTCTCAGGTGTTGGCAAAACTTTGTTTTAAAACTGAT